AAACTCGGGACCAGGACTGGGAGGACAGAGAATAATGAAAAGAATTGATATACCAGGTTAATAGGACTATAGAGAAATACTGTCTTACTAATTTCCTTTTCAAACCTTAATTTTATTTTGGGCTACTAAGATATCAAACTTGAGCAAATAATAAAGACAAAAGGTGCTTACTTGATCTAGATTTAAATGAGCAACCATCAAAACAGTGGGGTTTCCTTCTAATCCTGTTTGAATGAACACTTTTTTAAAGTCTTCTTTGAATTCTAGGTAGGCATAATTGTGAGATACAGGCACTTGGTATAGTTTGTATTCTGTCAAATAACAGGCCAAAGTTGTACAAGTTTCTTTTCCACATCCATCTATTCCAATCTTTGGGGGGAAAAATCAACATATGATTCCAGATATATTCTGGGAATCTTTCAATGTACAATTTTCTATTTATTTGTGTTAGAAATTTAGATAGTAAAAATACCTCAGGACTATTTTTTAACCATGTTGGGAGGTATATTAGACACAATTTAAGTATTTTATCAATTTTATAAGGCACATTCAATGTTTTCACATTTTTCTTTTCAGAGGAGATAACTTCACAGGAAAGATAACATAATCTAGAAAAATATCACAGATCTATAAATTCTCATCATGTCACTGTTGATACCTGATTCTTCAATGAGAAGAAATTAGCTCTTCTCTGTATTTTGAGCATCAAGCAGTGAATACATGCTCCTTGCCAATGATGGCAGACTACTGCCTTGTACACCACTTTATTGAGGTGTAATTTATGGGGTGTATCTGTTTTAAGCATACAATTCAATGATTTTCAATAAATTTACAGAGTTTTGCAACCATCACCACAATCCATTATTATAACATTTCTGTAATTCCCAAAAAAGATCCCGCATGCCCATTTGAAGTCAATTCTCAACCCTACCCTCCGCCCCAAGGAACCATTAATATGCTTTCTGTCTCTATAAATTTGCCTTTCTTTGGACATTTCTTATAAATGGAATCATAAGATATGAAGTCTTTTGTGTCTGACTTAGCATAATGTTACTGAGGTTTTTCCATTTTGCAGTGTGTATCATTAGTTTGCTCGTTTTTATAATTGAATATTATTCTGTTGTATGGACGTTTTGTTTATTCATTCACCCACTAACGGGCATTTGGATTTTTTCCACTTTTTGGCTATTACAAATAATGCTGATATAAACATTTATATCTTTGAGTGCGTATTTGTTTTTCTCTTGCTAACATAGGAATGGAATCATTCATTTCTATGGTAAATCTATGTTAAAATCTCTATGAACCGGCCGAATTGTTTTCCAAAGCAGTTTTACCATTCTACATTCCCACCAGCAATATATAAGAGTTCCAGTTTATCACATTTTTATCGACAATTTCTATTGACCATTTTTTTTTGTTTCTTTTTTTAAATTCTAGCCATTCAAGTGGGTGTGAAGGGGTATCTTATTGTGGTTTCAATTTACATTTCTCTAACGACTAATTCTGTTGAGCATCTTTTCATGGGCTTATTAGCCATTCATGTATCTTCTTTGATGAAACATCTATTCAAATATTTTGCCCATTTTAAAAAATAAGCTATTTTTAATAGCAGTTTTAGGTTTACAGAAAAATTGTGCAGAAAGTACAGTACAGAATTCCCATATACCTTACGATGGTTAATTTTATGTGTCAACTTGGCTAGGCTATGGTGCCAGTTGTTTGGTCAAACGCTAGTCTAGATGCTGTCGTGAAATACTTACATATGATTAGATCAGATAGCCTTAAGAAAAACAGATTACCTGCCATAGTGTGTGTGACCCTTAAGAATAAAAAAGGAGTTTTCCCTAGGGTGTATTCTGCCTCCGGACTATAAACACATTATCTTTACAGAATTCTCCCAACACTCTTCACTCTTCCTATTGCCTGACATAGGGATTTTGGGACACAAAACTACAGGAATCTCCAGCCTGTCACCTGACCTATGGATTTTGGGAAACAAGACTTTAGGAATTTCTAGCCTATTGTTTGACCTACAGATTTTTGGACTTGCTAGTCCCCCACAACAGCATGAGCCAATTCCTAAAAATTTATCTGTCTGTCTGTCTATCTATCTATCTATCTATCCACCCATCATCTTATTGGTTTTGTTTCTCTAGAGAACTCAGACTAAGGCATTTTGGTACTGAGAGTGGTTCTAGAGAACAGAATCTTAAGGATGAGCTTTCTGAATTGGTTTTGGAGTTTCTGGAATTGGTTCTCAAATATGGTTAGATTTAAAGACACTAATGATTTTATTTCTAGGACTAAAGAGAGCACTAACAGTTCATGAAGGAGCCCTGGTACTGCAACAGTTAAGCACTTGGCTGCTTACTGAAAGGTCAGCAGTTCAAACTCACCCAGTGGCTCTACAGGAGAAAAGACCTGGTGATCTGCTCCTGTAAAAATGACAGCCTAGGAAACCCTACGGGGCAGTTCTACTCTGTCATATGGAATTGCTATGAGTTGGAATCAACTCTAAAGCACACAACAACAACAACAACAACAAATCAAATACTTATGAGAGACAAGGTTCTGAGCAGTCATGAATTTGAAACCTTAGAACATTTTTGTCAAACTGATAAGTAAAATGAAATTGGCTGATTGATCTTATTTCCACTGGATAAAGTGGGAAAAGAAAGAATCAGCTCAGGGCTTCAAATTCCCAGCTTAAGCACCACATAAATACCCTGAAAGTTGCTATATGGTCCCTGAAAGAAAACCTTATCTCATGTAGCTACAGAGCTGAGATTTCTGAAAATCAAACCCAGAGTCTCATCCTATGAGAGGCTGAATTACACCGCCAATTGAATTCCCAACTGAAAAATGGCATGGCGAGGGCATCTGACCTCCTCTAACTTCACAAGGGGGAGAGAGAATCATCATGAGCATCAGCCCAAGGCTGATGGCTATGAGGTGGCAGTCAGACATACCTCTACTCTCCAGCCTTTTTACCAATCTGACACCAGCTGTCCTTCCCATGGCACTCTCTACTTCTCTACTGGGTTCGATAATTTGTTGCAATGGCCACACAGAACTTACATACCATACTTATAGTTATGGGGTATTAAGGAAGTAACAGGTTACAATTCAGGATACAGTTCTTCTATTAGAACAGCCTCTTCTCAGCCGTGCCCACAGGCAAGCCTCTTCCTGGCCCTTGGCCTCCAGCCCCTCGGCCCTTCTGGCCTCTTGGGCTGGCGCTGCCTCTGTCCTGCTTGGGCAAGTGTTACAAACCTCTTTAGCTCCACTGATAAGAGCCCAGAGGCGCACCATTCTGCCAGTAAGCCTCCTGCCCGAAGGCACACAGCTTTCTTGCTCCATGGGCCAGGAAACCCACCACATTGTCTCCTGCTGGTCTCCTGGTTCTGCTGCCTCTGCTGCTGCCGTTCTCTGCCACTGCTTCTCGCTATCTCTCAACATCTCCAGTGTTACAGTTCTCTTTGTCTCCTGGTTCTAGGAGGTTCTCAGTGCAGGGATCTAAAGGATGCTCTCCACTCCTAGCTCTTCTTTCTTGGTGGTAGTGAGGTCTCCCTTTCCACCTCTGGGATGGCTCATTTTAAGCCTAGTGGGATGGCAAAGCTGACCAGTCCCCCTTATTAGGATTCCACAAGCACCTTATTTGCACGGTCCCACATCTACAAGTGTGCCAGGCACCTTATCTGCGTTATTAGCAAGTTGTCCAATCCCCTTGGTGGGCCACATCATCTTATTGCATAGTCCTTACCAATCATTTGGTGGAAGTTACAAGACCACGGTGAGAAAGCCATATAAAAGCAGTCCATTGCACTGCACCAACCTTGCAAGCTGTCTGATGTTAAACTGAGGGAATTGATTGGGAAGAAATGGGATCCTGATAATTGGAATGGGGAAATATGGGCAGGTACTAATGAAGCTAGAGACACTGAGACCCTAAATTCTGCTGAGTCTTCTTTGCTAATAGAAGCATCCCTTTCACCCTCATCTGAGGAAATTAATCCAGCTTTGCCTAAGGAACCTGTAATAGCCTCTTCTGAGGCAGATGCCTTGAAAGATGCTGATGATTCCCCACAGGACCCAATCCCACTACCTGTCTTTGCTTCTAGAGCTATAACTGGACTTAAGGTATATACAAGCAGTGGTGAAAGCAGACATCTTGCCTTGTTCCTGATTTTAGGGGAAAATTTTTCAGTCTTTCTACATTGAGTATGATGTGGGTTGTGGATTTTTCATAAACGCCCTTTATCACATTGAGGAATTTCTCTTCTATTCCTAGTTTGCTTAGTGGTTTTATCATGAAAAGGTGTTGAAATTTGTCAACTGTTCTTTTTCTGCATCTATTGAGACTGTTGTTGTTAGGTGCTGTTGAGAACTTCCAGTACAGTGTTGAACAGAAGTTGTGAGAGATCCTTGCTTTCCCCTCCCAATATCAGGAAAGAAAACATTAAGTCTTTCACCAGTAAGAATCATGCTAGCTGCAGGTTTTTCATAAATACCTTTTATTAGGCTGATGAAGTTCCCTTCGGTTCCTTTTTGCTGAGAATTTTTATCATGAATGGTGCTGGATTTTGTCAAATAAATTTTATACAACTATTGAGATGATCATGTAGCTTTTCTCCTTAATTCTATTAATATAATTAACTGATTTTGAATGTTGAACCAAATATACATTCCATTGTGTGTAATACTTCTTACATGTTGCTGGATTCTGTTTGCTAATACGTTTTTCAGGCTTTTTGCATCCCTATTCATTAGGAATATTGGTCTTTTGCTTTCTTTTCTTGTGATGTCTTTGGTTTGGCTATCAAGGTAATAAATACTGGCCTCACAGAATGAATTGGAAGGTATTCTCTCCTTTTTTACTTTCTTGAAGACTTTGTGAAGAATGGGTATTAATTTTTTCTTAATGTTCAGTAGAATTTTCCAGTAAAACCATTTGGGACTGGGCATTTCTTTATGGGAAGTTTTGAAGTTATTAATTCAATCTCTTTTGTTATAGGTGTATTCATATTTTCTAGTTCTTCAGTTTCAGTAACTTGTGTCTTTCTAAGAAAGTGTCCATTTCATCTAAGATGTCAGATTTGTTGGCGTGCCATTGCTCATAGTATTCCCTTATAATCCTTTTTACTTCTCTTATGTTGGTAGTGACGTCCTTTCTTTATTCCCGATGTTAATAATTTCAGTCTTCTCTCCTTTTTTTTTTTTTAGTCTAGATAAAGATTGTCACTTTGTTGATCGTTACAAAGAACCAATTTTTGGGATGTTCTATATTGCTTTTCTATTTTCTATTCTCTTTGCTAATCTTTACTATTTCCTTTATTTCACTTTTCTGGGTTTAGTTTAATTTCCTT